TGCCATATATTGCAATATATGAGTTACTCAGCGATTAGTACATTTTGTACATGACGCTACAGATCTTGGAGGTGTCCAACAAATGCCAGAAATTCAAATGTTAGCATGCAATTTTATTGACATTTTTCATGTGTTACTTTGCCTTAACTCTATCTTCTTTTAATAAAAGAAAAAATAAATAAAAATAGAATGAAACAAATCCAGCCTGGGGTGTCCTTTTAAACACCTTGGTGTACAACATCTTTCAGGTTTACAAGATTGATAACTACCGTAAAGGCAATCAGAGAATACTCCCAGATGTCCCGACCTCAGGGAAGCCTCTTTTGTTGCAGGTCTTCCACCACCAGTCTGATTTTAGCACCATCATCCTTAAATATCAGGAGACTGTATGGAAAAATAAATAAATCTATAAAGGATGTAAAATTTCACATTATAGAGGTCTTATTGACACTTCTTCCTGATAAATAATATTTGTTATGTGAACCATAGAGTTCGGGATATTTTAAAACAGCCCAGAGAGGAACAATAATTAAATAGTGTCTGGCTGAAGCAGACAGTGTCTCTCTGCGGTTTTAATACAATATTTTATTTCGGGAAGATTAAAATGACATTGCATAAAAAGTAGCAGCACAAAGTGTTATCTACTATGACTCAGGGAGAAAGAACTATCAGAAAAGAATGTACTGTGTCAGATTTTTTTGTTTTTTTAAACCTAATATTAAATTTGCCTAAAGTTTTTTCCTTCGGCTTGCTGTATAAACATTTCACTGTTTTCAATAATAATTAAAGCGCTACGGAATCTGTTGGCGCTATATAAATGGCGATAATAATAATAGGGAATTACACCATAAATACATGAGGAGTTTTCCTACATGTAACTTGGTTTATATTGATTACTGTTTTACTAATGTTATCATTAAATGTTGCTCAAGTAGTTGCTGGTAAGGTGTGCTAAAGTAACGCTGCAAGCACCATAACCACAACAGAGTCATGCAGTGGTTATCGTTCCATAAATGCTCACCCAAAGTAAGACTTCTTACTTGGGACCCGTTGAGCACTGCAGTGCTTAGAGTGCTCCTTTATTGTCTTAAAGACAGTATAAGGTTATAGGCTCACATATATATCATGGTCATCAATAATGCTGACATTTCTTTCGTAGGTTATGTTCTGTTATCTTTAAATTATGGAAAACTGATCAGGGAATTAAACATTTTTAGGCCAAAATAGTGGTTAGAGATTTTTGTTATATTTGCCTATTTAGGTATAAAGTATGTAATTCTCTGTAATTTCTCCACGATTCCTGATTTTATTAAAGTATCAGTTTGTGTATTTATTGTCCGTAGCAATGTTGGTAGAAGTAGTGCCACATCCTTGGACAGCCTGAATAAATAAGATAAATTAGCCAGTATAGAACTCGCTGTGAGGTGTAAAAGTAGAGAATGAAATCACTGTAAAACTAGACCTACAAATAGTCCAGGAGACGACTGTGACGTTCTTTGATTTTGGTTCTTAAAATGGTTCTGTCACCTTCTGGGATCTTTGCCTATTTTTTTTCAAACACCCCCAATCGAGATGGCTCAGAGATGCAGCAGAAGGTAGATGTACTTTCCTGATCTTTTACCCTTGCGGCGGCAGCCATTTACTTTCTTCATCTCTTGGCACTTCATCTGCCAGGAGCCCACATTAGATAGTGTCTTGCCATGGCTGAGGGAAGCAGGAAAACTTGGAAGAGCAAGCTCTGTCTTTTGTCAAGAGCTGGGAACATGCACAAGACAAAGTAGTCCCTACTTTGCCTTATGTATTTTAGGAGAGAGAGATTTGAAAAGAAGAAAGGATGAATGGACCAGAAGTGAGGAAGAAAGAGAAACAGATTGAAGCAACGGAAATGACAAAACTGCTGTAATGTTATATACTTCAATTATGAGAAATAGCTCACACATTGTTTGGGCAATGTTTGTACTATTTCATACACAATTTGTACCTATCATACTGATGCAGATCTCATTTGGATTCTGAGGCAAAGGATAGTGAATCCATAATGTATCCTCTGAATTGCCCAAAATCTTGCCAAGGCACATGTGGAGCTGAGTGAATATTGGCTTACCCTGTTTTTAATATTAGCCATCCTAAAATATAATCTAAGAGCAGCTGCAGCAGTATCAAATAATACACAGCTTTATTTAGCAACGCATGTGGTGAGGGATTAGACCATGAGAAGCAATACTTGTACAGCTGCAGAACTTTCTGACTTCATGACGGATATAGAGAGACAGGAAAACATTCTGTTCCCCAGTAAAGGCCAAATGACTGGCTTGTGAAACAGGAGGATTTCACACGCTGGTCAAAGTGGCCTATGAGATTCAAATTATCCTTAAAAAAAAAAAAAAAAAAAACACACACACACAAATTGTGCGGTGACAATCTTACTGAGCCAAAGTAAGATCAGCATTATTTAGAATGACTTTATTTTTATCTGGCAATAGAGGGTGTTGCCACTTGGAATGAAATATACTTAAGAAACCACAAACATTTTATGTTCCTTAAAGGACCACTATAGTCACCCAGACCACTTCAGCTCAATGAGGTGGTCTGGGTGCCACGTCTCCCAGGTTTTAACCCTGCAGCTGTAAACATAGCAGTTTTCAGAGAAACTACATTGCAGGGTTAATCCAGCCTCTAGTGGCTGTCTCCCTGCGAGACAGTAGAGGCACTTCTGCGATGCTCAATGCGTAAAATCGCACTGAGCACGCAGAACATCCATAGGAAAGCAATGAGTAATGCTTTCCTATGGGTGGTTTGAATGCGCATGCGTATTCGGCTCCACTCTGGAGCTGACGTCAGAGGGAACCCGGTGCTGGATTAAAGTAAGTGGCTGAAGGGGACCCCTTCAGCCCAGTGGGAGGGGGCCACTGAGGGTGGGTGGGACTTAAGGACTATAAGGTCCTTTAACATCATGTTGTTTTTTTTTTTTTTAAACCAATTTTTTTAAATTGTATTCTTCTCAGCTTGGAACACAGTGGGACAGTTTGGAACAACTCCCCTCATATTATAATCATAAAGGACTGAGCTCTGAATGGGAGAATTAAAATGACACTAAACACCAAAACAACTTTAGCTTAATGGAGTCGGTTTGATGTATAGTTCATGCCCTTGCAGTCTAGCTGCTAATTCATCTGCCATGTAAGAGTTAAATCACGTTGTTTATGCAGACCTAGTAACACCTAGCCTGGCTGAGATTTCTACATTTTTTTTTTTTTTTAAATCATCAATATGTTTGCTTTCTTTATTGCACAGTGTGTTTAATTTAGACTTACTTATCTCCTGCTTTGTTAAGTATTTCTTATAAGCACATCCGTATATAGTGCAAAGAACGGCCTTCCTGGGTGTTTATTATAGATGCAGACAGAACATTTACTTCTTACTTGTTCATGAGCCACACATTGCACAGCCAAGAGTCTTTTTTGTTTGAATCTGAACCCCAGATTGGAGTGTTCTTTTAAAAAGACAAGTGACCATACTTAATGGCAGTGGTCTTAACTAAGGTACTTTGTAATCCACCACTTTAAATAACCCAACAAGTGTTCAATTATTTAGGGTGTAAAATGTCCTTTTCTGGTGTTGGCCTGCAGAAGGACAAATTATCTCACTTGAGTAACTAGCCCTGAAAGTGTTAAGACATGAATTCAAAGTGAATTTCAAATTTAAGAACAAAATAGCAAGTTAATTGACTTATGGAATTGTTGTAATATTTATTGTGGCCTACATTCTGAGATATCTGTCACTCTAGTGAAAACTCACCATTATAGCGATCAGGCTAAATCTAATCTGTCCCATTAAAGGGAGTAACAACCTACTATTTGTTACAATCATGATTGTCTTATTTGGGTATTTTAAAATGTTATGCTAAAAAGGGGGTATACAAGCAAACCGCTCATCCTTGTAAAAAACTAATTTAAAGAGGACCGTCCATCAATCCTCACCACAATAAACAATACTGAATCATTTACTGGGGTGATGAGTACAGCATAAATATACAAACATATTGTCTTTGCAACACTTTACCCTCAGCTTTCAGCAAAGAACTAGCATACAAGCATGTGTGATCAGACATTCAACAGTTCTCTGTGCAAAGACCATCATTACACTTGCACACTACTTCACCATGGGGAAGGAGGGTTAAAACAAACTGTACACTACAGGCTCTTGCTGTGCCAGGACAGCTTGGCATATAGTTAAATTATATATAAGGGTTTTCTTCAGGAGGTGCCTACCACATGCCCTCAATAGTTACGACTATAGCCCTGGCTAATGTTAGAAGCAATATGAGATGCTATCAGGTTGACTGGAGAGTAATGGAGCCGAAACGATTCAGAGTAAAGTCCAATGTTTGACGGGGCAGAAGTATAGGTAGGATCACATTCCAGACCAGTAACACAAGCTATGGAGCATGTTTTCTTGCTGAAATCTTCATACCTTTGTGTTATGTATGGCCCTTCTCTGTGCTAGCTTGATGTTTTTGTTAACCACAATGATTTCCAGATTAGATGATTAAAGTTGTTACTATTAAGTTCACATTGTTTACAAATCAGTAGTTCTAACAATTTGTGTGACTGTGTTAAGATTAGGAACATTTACTGTATTTCTGAGACTTACCCAGTGGTATCCAATTATAAACAAATGACAGTAGTTAATATATTATTTCTTTTTAAAACACACACACAATTATGATTGAAGACACTTTTCCCCCACAAGATATAATGGTATTTTGTTAGAATGGACATGAAGTAAATAGTATTTCTATGAATAGTTTGCAGTTCAAATTAATTGCTCAAACCAGTAAAAACACAAACTGTATGTTCCCAAGTTCATGCTCTTATAAATCTACGCAAGTGAATAGCCAGAAACACATGTACAAGAGGTTTCTCCCTCCCCACAAATCCTACTATGAACAGCAAAGCACTTGTAAGTGAATCCTAGTGACATTGATCAAAATAGTGCCAAGACAAGAAGGTTCGTAATAAACTTAATCAAGAGACATATATATATACACACACTCTCTCTCTCTCTCTCGCACCAGTTCACCTGTTTTAACTTTGCCATCATCTGTACAACACACACACAAATCTGCCTTGACATAGACTGGAACTACAGTGCTGTATGGTATAGTTACATTATGGTCTGAGAAACTGTGGCATAAAATAATCCATCAGATGCATCCGGCTTGCCATCTCTCATTCTTGGAGCTTCCAGAGTAAAAGGAGATTTTGGACGTGGACCGCTGCAATAATGTACCGTCAGTACTAAAAGCAAGAGGTCACAGATAATCCATATCTTACCAAATATGAAGAATAATTTCACACATTTTGACTATATTACCTGAACATGTAACACAGAAGAAATCTCCTAGGTGCAAGTAAAAGCCTCCCTTCCACCTTACATTCCATTTACAAATTGCTTTAACACCTCAACATAATGACTTTGGGACTAACTGGATTGTCCATCTACTAGTATTCCTTTCTTCTCCTGTGCCCCAACGGACTCCTTGGGGGGAGAGCAAAATTCAGAATAAAATAGTCACACTGTGGCTATAACAGGGTTGGAGAATTTTTCCAAAATTATTTTCGCCTGTATTTTGTAATTTCCAATATGCTACAGTTCATAGTTTAGTTAAACTTTAGAGAACATTTGCTGATTTTACATAGGATGCATGTGACAGTAACCTCAGAGTTCCATGCCAAATCCAGAAACCAGGAAATCAACAATCCATGACTGCCTATATGAAAAACTGTCTCATGGGGAAGGTTCCAGCTATATTTTCTAGATGAACAATGAAAACAAGTAGTATCAGGCAACACATTACTCTGGAATGTGTGTAAGTCCATGGTTTTAGTACAGTTAAACACTACAGAACAGATTAATACAGTTTATCTAGTTAAACAGCATGGGTTATTCACCAAACCACCAACTGTTTTAGGACAAAATAAAGTTGAAAATGTTCACCAAATCAACCTAAATTTACAGCTCAGATTTTAGAGCCTTGAATTTGCAATTCCGCAGTTAATATGTGACAATCCATCCACTTAGAAGAAAATAATTATATATAACACATAATAATAATAATAATAATAAAAAAACAGCCAGCAATAATTAAATGTATTTTGGAAAGGTAAAAATCAATAAATAAGAGGGTAAGTGGGAAAAACGTACAAAGAAACAAAATCTGTGAAAACAATTTATTAAAGAATAGCTAGATACAATTAGGAGAATTTTTTTTAAATATATTAAAAAAAAAAAAAAATAAGGGGGGGGAGGGGTGGCACCATTCACACACACACAAAAACAAAAAATTCAATTCTCAATATATGTCCATGTTTAAAGCTTCAATATAAGTGGAGTGGCAGCTCCAAAGAAATAAGTCAAATATCGAATTTACAATAAAAACCAATTTCCTTTATCTAAGCTCAAAGATATTTTTTTTTAGAAATTAAGGTTGCATCATAACCAGTATTTGGGTTAAATTCATTTATGCATTCAATTTGGTGGCCAATTTTCTGGTAATACGGTCACAGCAAAATTGAAAATGTATTTCTTATTTGAAGTAAAAACTTAATTTGTGGGAAGTCCTTGATTTTACTTTCTCCCTGCCATGAGTTTTAAATATTGCAGTGCATTGTGGGCAGCATCATTGTGGGCATTACCACACGAGATCCCTGTTCCATGACATACTGTGATAGGATTTGTGGACAACTCCGCCAGACACTGATACTGTCCGTTGACACTCAGTTCCTCTGAAAAATAAACAAATTATTTTAATATTCATAAATTTCGTGAGAAAAAAAAAAAATTATCCAAAAACATAACTAGTACTCAAAACTCAGGAAGAAAAAAAATTAAATAAAAATAAAGTTTTAGAATCTCTTTATAAATGACATGACAATCTTACTCCAAACATTACAGGATAGAGATCTTCTATATGTAAAATATACATTCTATTTTTCCTCGAACAAAAACAAACACGTTGCATTTGTTTCTTTGACATAGTCTTGTTAAAGATCACTATTCCAGAATGAAATCTTGCTATGGTTTTGGTAAAATGGATGAAAACATTTTAAGCTGTTTCTCGTATTGAACTCATGGTGTTATTTCCTGGGAGGGAAGTGGGGGCCCTGCTGCAATGGTGGCCTGGGATAAGTCCTACAGAGAATATTCAGACTAACATACGTTCATGCACACTTTATATTGTTAGAAGTATAAGGACACAATTTGTCAAACATCTCAACCCAAAAACATAAGCAATAACTGACTACTTACCGATGTCTAAATAAGATGCACGAAAATTTTGTTCGTCAGCAACTTCAGCCAACATTTTCACATAATCGGTGTTAGGAATACTCAAAGGGCTTCTTTTCAGAAGGTTTATTTTCTCTCCAGTTGATTTTTTCAAGCTATCCCAAGTGCATCCAAGATTATTTCCAATGAGCTTTTCCTAAAATCAAGAACGTATTTTACAAAATCAGAGACTCAAGATTTCAGACCACGTAAAGTATAAGGATGAGACAATTTTGTAACTTATCCCTTGTATATGGTGAGTTAAAGAAAGAATCTCTTGGCTTTTTAGATTAATTCAGCTAGTGGACATCTGGTTGTCTATAACCTATTAAGAATGACACCAAATTCACCACAAACCCTACAAATGAGCAGTAATGATTATGGTGCATAGAGTCTTTAGGTGTCATCCCTCAGGCTTCTGTCAAAGCATTTTTGGGACGGTGTTAAAAAACACAAACACATTCTACCTAGTTCCCCAAGCCTGTACCATCTGCAGTCACAGGCACAATCATTTTGCATATTCAACAGGTTAATTTCATATATTAAGTAAAAATACAAAATAAAAATACAAAAAAAAGTTTAGCAAAAGGTTAATATTAAAAAAAAAAAAAAAAAAAAAAATGAACATTTTTAGTTTTTGGAGAGATTGCTTATAAGGGAACCAAAATTACAGTAGTAAGCACAGTTTCCCAAATGTCTGCTACCTGTTCATAGACTGCCTGTGTAGCGGATGGCATTGGGCTGTCCTCAAGAATTTGTGGTAAAAATTTATTCGTGTAATTATTCCCATGTAGAACTATAAGTGTATGTAGCTTTCGTCTGCTTGTTCGGTAGTTTCATACGAATGAAACTACCGAACCATCAGACCACCCCAGTGAGAAGTGTGTACCTCGTTAAGCTTTCACACTCTGTAACCGCAGCTTAATTGACCGCGAACTTGCTACTTTATGTGTATCTGTGTGGTCGCCGTTCGGCATACGAACCGCGTGGCGGCGGCCATCTTACGCAAGAAAATCTCAGCGGTGTTTGGTCGTTGAGTGTCTGGAACTCAAATAGGACACTCAAACAACCGAACACCGCTGAGACCTCCAGAGCTCCATAACTCACGAACGGAGGGGCCAGTCAGTCCCTCGTTCGGTAAAATAAATGTACCGAACAAGGGAATACATACAAATATGAGATTAGCTGTGAATGGCAAGTATTTCTGTGTGTTTTAACTACCGAACGGACACCGACCACAGGGCCAAAACACATGGAGCCTTTTTCGGATACTACCTCGTGTGCGGTCGGTCAAATTTCACCTTCCATCTAACTCCCAAACCCCTTGTCCGATCTGGGTGAATTTTGAATATGTTACTCACCCAGATCTGGGCTACAAGGGGGTGCCCAGTATATCAGTCTGCCTGTTTTGGGGGTACATCTGGATATTGGGGAAAACTACAGTATGTTTAATGGGATTATGTGTCACACTGAGGGGAGGAGATGTGTGGGAGGTAACTGTTACACTATTGGCTACTGTAATAATTACTGTGAATCCCTCCCTTGCATGGGAGAAAGCTTTAAAAGAAGGTTGTGTGATTAAAAGGAGAGTTCTGTTCCTGATGCTGTGCATCGTCCAGTCATTGGGATCTGTATGGGGATATACGTGGATTACCTTGCTTGCTGTGATTATTATTCTATGGTATTTTATTACCATTATTTTGTTCCTGAGCCTCACTGGGATTTTTAGTGGAGTTAACCTGCGAAAGACCAGCTCTCCGCTACAGCCTGATTTTGCACAACAGAGTCATGGGCTTCCCCAGGATTCCTATATTTAGTATGTTTTTGTTTCTATTAGAAATATTAGATAACCATTCTATGGAGGGAAAAAATATATGCTGAGCAGATCTATATTTCAAAATGTTTCACATACATCTTGTGTTACTTAAGCCGCTAAGTAGAATATATGCAGAAATCCAAAGAACTGGTTACCAAGAAAAGGCATCAGAGGAGAAATACACAAGTCACAAGCACTCTACTAGAAACCATGTCTCCATAGTGTATACGCACCAGGGAGCGATTAACAGTGTCAGGCAGAATGGAGTTCAACTTTGCAATTATCTTCTCAGCAGCAATTCTTCTTGCTACTTTTTTAGATGTGCCAGATGCTGCAGGGAAAACGAGAAAAGTCATTTCAAAGAAAGAAAAATGTAAGAAAACTAAAGTAGACTAGTGCAATCTAATTTAACAATACATCCAGAGCACATTAACCTGGATGTGCGGTAAAACAAAAAACAAACACAGATAACACAAAACACATGCTTGTTTTAAGCACATATCCAACAGTATTTATTAAAACAGAGACCACAAGTACTCTACCTCTAGCCAAGCATAAAAATTACTCACTACAACATGTACAATTCACGCTTTTTCCTGCAGCTTGGAAGCAAGTGCATGAACGTAGAGGTGTATTTGTGAAGAGGGCACTACGTGTATACAGGTGTATTGGCAGTTCTTTTCTACGTCACATGCGCCTCCCTCCCCATGTCACTGAGTTAAAGTCGTTCCTGCGCCTCTGCGTTCGTTTAATCTCCAGTTTTTCTTATACTTGCCAGCCGTGTATGGGTAGCAGTGGGTAAATAGCATTGTCTCTGAGGCAAGCTCTTCAGGGTTTAAAGGGAAACTCCAGTGCCAGAAAAACAATCAGTTTTCCTGGCACTGCAGGTCCCCTCTCCCTCCCACCCCCCAATCCCCGGTTGCTGAAGGGGTGAAAACCCCTTCAGTAACTTACCAGACGCAACGACTATGTCCCACGTCGCTGCTTCTTCCTCTGCGTCGCTCCTCCCTGTGATTGTGTCGGCCAGTGGACGAGACTGATCCAGCCCTCCGTCTCCCCATGGGAAAGCATTGAAAATGCTTTTCAATGCTTTCCTATGGGGAAATGAGTGACGCTGGAGGTCCTCACATAGCGTGAGGACGTCCAGCGACGCTCTAGCACAGGTTTCCTGTGCTAGAAACCAGGAAGTGCCCTCTAGTGGCTGTCTAGTAGACAGCCACTAGAGGTGGAGTTAACCCTGCAAGGTAATTATTGCAGTTTATAAAAAACTGCAATAATTACAC